AACCAGCTCAAACATTGTTTAAGAGCTCCAACCTTAGTTGGGGAAAGGTTGTGCTGACGCAAGAACATCCGAACATTTCTATTACCAGAGATGTGTGCTGCTGCGCTGACTCCTCCCTTCCTACAGCTCGTCGAATATCGAGCCCTGTGGCAGATTATGAAGAATATGTTGAATCCTGATTGTAATGAACTTATAAGAGCTGTTTATGGGTTGAAAGATAGGGAAAAACGATGGGCTGATTGAGGCTACTGTACGGAGAGAGGATGTGCGCTTACACTATGAACTGGATGGTTAAGACAGGGATAAGCAAGAATAAGTCAATGAGAAGGTCAAAATAGAGAAGTGCTTCGAAGAAATGCTTTGTACTTGAGAAACTCCACGCGCTATGCTCTGCACCTCAATGCTCGTACTCAGGAGCTCAATGGTCTATGCTCTGCACTTGAAGAAAATTGGAACTTGCCAGTAAGAAGGGAAATAAAGAAAAAAGTGCATTGGAAAGTGCTTATCCTTTGCTACATCGTCCTTTCGGGCTTTTAGATGATCTAGGCTTTCATCTATCTAGGAATGCATGAGAAAGCCCTGTACAGCTCTCGGCACGTCAAGCATTACAGTATGGACAAATACCATACAGTAAGGATTTGTATGGTTGCACAAAAATGAAGAAATCAGGAGTAGTCTTGCCCTGGTCCACCCGCTTCTCTCCCACATAGCCCTTAGTGATCACAACAGTTTATTACTGTTACAACACTTATGCGAAAAACAGTTAAGCAAACTAGGTACACAATATAGCAAGTGAACAACCGGTAGCAAAATGATTAAGATTCTATTTGGTGGTAGGACGATGGCGAGGAGCTTCTTTGAAGGTTTTCCTCGCCATCGTCCTACCATCAAATAGAATTTTAATCACAGCCCCCAAAAAACGACGTATGAATGACGAGGCAGGGAGGAACCTCAAGAAAACAAGAAAAAGGAATCCAGAGCGATAGGTCACGGCTATAAGCGGTTTCCCTCGCAAATTGCACGCGCAGTCTACAAAGATCACTTTAGAAACAAATTATCCACTGAAAAATAATATCTATCTGCCTCTCTCTCTGCTCACAATATTGCCAATTCCCTCCCTAGTCACGACTGTGACTCCCAACGAGCTTTGCATGGTGATGGTGGGGGGGGGGGTCTAGATGTTGGTCCATGATGATTTCCAAGTGTTAAATCTTTTCGAGTTCCTGGTGGCAATCTGTGATGCATTTCGGAAGGGTGTATAGAGCTTCACCGTGTCGCTTTGGTAGGCAGAATATGCACCAGGTGATGCAGTCAGCCTTCGTATTCCTAGACGAGTCAGGTACCATTTAACAGCACTCAGAGGGGGGGGGACAGTAGGGTCGGCTCGGGTGGAAGCCAAGGATGGGTCTGACCACCAGACAGTGCATGTGAGGGCTCCACACCTGCAACTCCCTCACCTCCTTCAGAAGGAGGCGGTATGCGTTGAAATGTCCGAGAAGTCAAGGAGATATGGAGTGAAGACGAGGGGAATGGTTCGGCTATAACGACAAGATTCTAGAAAAAGTATGTTCCTGCATCGATAAACGGTATAAAGGGTAGAGTGCGCGCAAGTGTAATAATAAGCGCACCATGCAAAAAGGCATCAAGGAAAATGAAAAGATAGATACTAAAAGTTGGCTAACGGTTTACTGGTGGGATTAGCCAATAGTCAGCAAGGGAAAACCACCTGTCCCAAGCACCAGTCATTGAAAATTGCGGCGCTGGTGTCACAGATCGGCAGTCCGATACAATAGAAATTCTTACTCAATAATGAACCACAAGAGGAGGAAAGAGCTGGACGAACCTCCCATCACCCTATAACTTCATTTTTGCATCCAAAACTTCCCCTTACTCCACTCACCGGAGCATATCATACCACGTAACCTATTGAACAATTGGTCCTCTTCACATCTGCCACGAGATTATAGTAATTGTAGTATGGTGGCAAAACTTCAAACAGTACTTATTTAGGATAGAGTATTACGATATGCGCTTCGAAATATCAATATACAGAATTGTATAGGTATTTGGCGTAAATTACTGATTATGAAAAGCTCGTTAGCTGAAGAGGTAAATAAATCATGCACTTGCGATTTCAGCTACTCAGCTTTCTGTTTTTCTCACCACATTTTCAGTTGCTTTCTCGACACGCGTCGCACGTTCCCGGTTTCGCGCTTATGCTGAGCTTCCTTCGCACATGCTCCCACCAGTTGCAATCCTACCCCGCCCAATGGATTAGCTGCTGACGCATCAATTGGTTGTCTTACATTGCAGTACAAGAGTGTTGCGACAGCTAC